TCTCTCCGAAAGCAGTTCTTCCTCTGCCTTGTTCGTCTATGTTGGACGGTCGGTGTCTGCAGTGTTTCTTTCCCCACACGAAAAGAACATGGTTTGCACTAAATGCTTCCTGCTCAGCCGTTTTGTCTGGAAGGGTAAATCCTTTGTCACAATCTTCACATATACTGAGGCCTGCCTGGATGAAAACAGAATCAGTTTTTGTGGTCCTGCCATCTTACCATCATTAAAAGGCAAAGCCATCCGCAGTTTAACTGTCGTTTTTGCTCCTTTATTAGAAAAACTACTATCTACAACAACAATGACATGATCTGGGCAAGGTACTGATGGATTTTTGTGAAAAGAGCCCAAATATTGGATTGGTTACCACAAACACAGCAGGTGAGAGCGCTACTCGCATTTAGCACTAGGTGAATCCTGCCGTCGCGGGCGATGATAAAGGCAAGATGCTGGAACTGATCTGCATCCCCTCTCCGTTCAACTTGTAAATCATTCTAGCAGGATGGGTTTTCCCTAGCTTTAGACTTTAAGGCGTTAAGGAAGAGACCAACTTTCGGAGCTGTGCTGCATACGGAAGTTTACATGCGACAGAGCCTTCTCCCCATACGAAACACTCAGACAATTGTTTCTGCGTATTCCACGTCAACAAATTATATGCTGGATATGAAATAATGGTCTTTTCCATGGTTAGCACTGCTTCGCAGAAGAAAGTCTAGAACAATGTTGAATAGCAAAGGCGAAGCAGATTTCATTGACGAACTTCACGGTAAATGAGGAACCAATCAGATGACTTTCCTTTATCTTTGACGGCAGACACTTTCTGCATACATCCCTTTCAAGATGGAAACGATTTGTTAGGGTATTTCAGAGCTTTCTCAAATTCTAAACATTGTTTGGCAATGTAATGATTCAGATTTAGCCTTGAAGGCCGAGGAAACTGGCATACCTTGGCAACTGGAATCGTCAGCCTAGCTGAATTAATCCCATGAAGAATGAAAATTGGTAAGGGCAAGAATGATCCCTGATGAAGGTCGCCCGATTTTGATGGAGTTTCTTACCAACTGTCTGCTTCAGCATTTCTACAGTAGATTTACTGGCAGTCTAAAAATTGAACATTTAACTGTCTGCCTCAGTTCCTCAACTGCCTACGTAGTCCGTAGTAACTCGAATGACGACCGAGCCAATAGAGCATTCGAAAGTGTGAATATCATGAGAGGCTGATGGCTGAGTTGCGGTTCAAATATAGGCCTGGGCCTGCCGTGTCACTTCTTGAGTTGTTTCTTTTGAATATCAGGTCGTCGTCTTTAACGTGGAGATGACACGATTGATGGACGACTTACATGTACTAGTTCACTATGCGACTCAGCAACTCGATCGCTTGATGCAGACTGCGAGGACCTCATTCCTTATCTTTTCATATGCATCTAGCATGATATTATTAAACAGGCTGTCGTTTATTCTGAGGAAATCTAGATGCGACTGCACATGATAAATTGAGTTTACGTAAATTTTTCGGGTCTGTCGCCCGTTTGTCAAATAATCGCTCAGGAACAATGTTAGATAACTTTGGGATACGTCAATGGAAGCTGTTTTGTCTTGTTGCTTAACATTTACGCAAACCACTGATAAATCAGTGTATCTTGCTTGCGCATGGAATATGCCAGACATGGTATTCGTCGTCGCTGTCACTAGATTGCCTCACCTAAGTAGACAGCATCCAAAACTGAACCAGTTTTAAACTGAACACTGAAGGTCGACACATGAAAATGCTTCCAAAACACATTAACTCAAAATATTGACTTCCCATCCTGCTGGAGCTTGCTTTCTGCCCTGTAAAATTGTGCCCTACGTAGTCGATAGGGATTACTTCATCTTCATGAAAATTACCTTAACAATCTTTGCACTTAGCATAATCACGTTAAGTTTACCATATCTTAGGAGAGGACCATATGCGCATCTTTAAAGTCAGAAATTTAAGGAAAATCAGACGGGCTTCAACAATACTTTTCATGCTCGGCTTTATCGTCTCAGTGACTACGCAGCCCAGTTCCTGAACCTCTCTGCCCGCGATCAGTGTTTCACACAGTCCGCCAGGGCCGTCAGCCGACTCTGTGCACGAATCATTACGCTTTCGGCTTCTGAACAATTTCAAATTCTTCTATTTACATTTTATCGCATGTGATGTTTTCATGTGCACTGCTGAAATGTCGATTAAAGCTTCCTGACATAGCGGCAAATTTAACTTTGCGTAACCTAGTCATCGATATGTTTTAGATTTTGTTGGTTGTAGAATTCAAGCAGTCAAGCTAATTCATCTAAATTCAGCTAATTCGTCTTCACAGTCAACTTATTTTTCATCAGTCAGGCTCATTTTTATTAGCGTCAATAATGCGATTGGCTTTAATGGCTTAAATTTTCACCGCTTCATGCCGATACTTCAGTTCATCGCATCAAGAACAAACCGTTATTGGATACGGCAGTACCAATCCACTGTCTTGTTTGATTAAATTCAACCGTTATTTATGGCCGTGGTCGTTTGCTGTTTACTTTCTGTCAAAAATCCAGACTCAATGATGATTCAATTTAGGCACTCAAATCAATCGATTATCATCGAGTGAAAACCGCTGTTGTCAGCTTCGCACTGGGCGATCAACCTGCTTCTCCGCTGCTAAAACAACACTTCAACAGCTTCTGTGCATTTGCCCATGCAATCAGCATTCCTCAGTTGAGACGAAAGGAATAAACAGAACTTTCCTTTCCATCACTGAACAGAGTAGAAGTTTTTACCGTTGGCACCATAATCATTTAATTCATCTGAACAAATTTTCGAAAAATTTCAAACTAAATAAACGCATATCGTACTTCATATTAACAACTGCTTTTAAACAGCCGCAATATTGACCTGTTTCAGAGATGAACGAATAATTAATGCTGACACATAAGGCAGAAAACAATCGTACAGACAATCAGCTGTGAGGTGAGTAACTGTCGGGAGCAAATTTAAGCGCATAAGTGTGCACGGACAAATTATTGCATAGCATGTGGGACAGCAGGCATGCAGTTCTATAACTCGGTCACCTTTCATGTAGAGCAGCATTTTTCATGACGATTTCCAGTCTCTTTGTGCCTCATCTTGTTTGAGATACTTACCATTACACTGCTTAGTTTGTGACCCCTTTCTTTATTGTCGGCTGAAACACGATCGGCATTCAAAGCCTTTTCACCGTTCGTCTGAGAAAAAGCCTCGCGAACTTCACTTGACAAAATTTCAGGCACGTCACGCTTCGTTTTTTATGTACCCTTACATTTTTTCTATCAATGCTTTTGCTGAGAAAACTGCTATAAAACCGTCAGCACACGTCCTTCCAACGCATTGTGGTCTGCTCTATGTTAACACATATTGACTGTGTTAGTTCTCATAAACAAGACAATGAGCGGAGATGAGACTTCTAGACGTTAATAACACGGAAACATGCTAAAATGTTTCAGATTGACGAAGAAATGTAACGCACTTATGCTACGATGTATATTAAGATATACGACAATCAAACTGTTCTGACTATTCGAAAATCACGTCAGTCAACATGGCATGAAAATATGCCATTTAATAATTAATCATAAAAGTACTGCCGACCTCGTGCTCTACACAAGACTGTATCGCGACACGATGTTCTTGCACTAAAAAACTTCGGCTCTACAGATATTTAGACGTGC